AAACAGCAACTTGGTTCTCTCCAAATCCTTGTGACCTCACTGTCACGAGTCAAAAGCCAAGCAACTTTGTGCAGCCGTCTGCCAGGTGGATGTGGATGCACAGAAGTTGTGCTTGACTTTGCATGGTGACTCTGCCTGCATTGGGTTCGCGCCAGTTTGTTTTTAAAGGGTTCGCAAGTGCTGCTGGCACCCTTCTTCCGTTTTTGTTTGGGGGTTCGCCATGAAAAAAAGTCAAGCCCAAACGGCTTCGGGTTTGTGAAGCTATGCGTCGGCAACTCGACTTAATTGCTCCGTGTTTGTGGTGCCAAGTGTCAAACGAGAAGGGTCATAATGCAGGTCTGCCTCAAACTTAGGGTGTCTCCAGGTAGCGGATTTCATGTGAGATGTTTTTTCTGTCTTGTCAATAGCCGCCTCGAGGCTGTGTGTGTGTGTGTGTGTGTGTGCGTGCGTGCGCGTGCGCGTGCGCGTGCGCGTGCGCGTGCGCGTGCGCGTGCGCGGGTGGGTGGGTGGGTGGGTGGGTGGGTGGGTGGGTGGGTGGGTGGGTGGGTGGGTGGGTGGGTGGGTGGGTGTGTGTGTGTGTGTTTGTGTGTGTGTGTGTGTGCTGGTGTGTGTCTGTGTGTGTCTGTGTGTGTCTGTGTGTGTGACTGTGTGTGGTGTCTTGTTGTGTCTTTGTTGTGTCTGTGTGTGTGTCTGTGTGTGTCAGTGTGTGTCTGTGTGTGCTGTGTGTGGCTGTGTGTGTGTGCGTGGTGCCGATGCGTGCGTGTGCGAGGCGTGCGTGTGCGATGCGGTGTGTCTGTTTCTGTTTCTTTGTGTGTGTCTGTGTCTGTGTCTGTGTCTGTGTCTGTGTCTGTGTCTGTGTCTGTGTCTGTGTCTGTGTCTGTGTCTGTGTCTGTGTCTGTGTCTGTGTCTGTGTCTGTGTCTGTGTCTGTGTCTGTGTCTGTGACTGTGTCTGTGTCTGTGTCTGTGACTGTGTCTGTGTCTGTGTCTGTGTCTGTGTCTGTGTCTGTGTCTGTGTCTGTGTCTGTGTCTGTGTCTGTGTCTGTGTCTGTGTCTGTGTCTGTGTCTGTGTCTGTGTCTGTGTCTGTGTCTGTGTCTGTGTCTGTGTCTGTGTCTGTGCTGTGTCTGTGTCTGCGTCTGCGTCTGCGTTTGGGTCTGTGTCTGTGTCTGTGTCTGCGTTTGTGTCTGTGTCTGTGTCTGTGTCTGTGTCTGTGTCTGTGTCTGTGTCTGTGTCTGTGTCTGTGTCTGTGTCTGTGTCTGTGTCTGTGTCTGTGTCTGTGTCTGCGTCTGTGTCTGTGTCTGCGTCTGTGTCTGTGTCTGTGTTTGTGTCTGTGTGTCTGTGTGTGTGTGTGTGTCTGTGTCTGTGTCTGTGTGTGTGTGTCTGTGTGTGTGTGTGTCTGTGTCAGTGTCTGTGTCTGTGTCTGTGTCTGTGTCTGTGTCTGTGTCTGTCCCCGTGTCCCCGTGTCCCCGTGTCACCGTGTCCCCGTGTCCCCGTGTCCCCGTGTCCCCGTGTCCCCGTGTCCCCGTGTCCCCGTGTCCCCGTGTCCCCGTGTCCCCGTGTCCCCGTGTCCCCGTGTCCCCGTGTCCCCGTGTCCCCGTGTCCGTGTGTCCGTGTGTCCGTGTGTCCGTGTGTCCGTGTGTCCGTGTGTCCGTGTGTCCGTGTGTCCGTGTGTCCGTGTGTCCGTGTGTCCGTGTGTGCGTGTGTCCGTGTGTCCGTGTGTCCGTGTGTCCGTGTGTCCGTGTGTCCGTGTGTCCGTGTGTCCGGGTGTCCGTGTGTCCGTGTGTCCGTGTGTCCGTGTGTCCGTGTGTCCGTGTGTCCGTGTGTCCGTGTGTCCGTGTGTCCGTGTGTCCGTGTTTCCGTGTGTCCGTGTGTCCGTGTGTCCGTGTGTCCGTGTTTCCGTGTGTCCGTGTGTCCGTGTGTCGTCCGTGTGTCCGTGGTGTCCGTGTGTCTCTTTAATGACCATAGAGTCCCGTGTGGTGTGTAGGTGTCTGTGTCCGTGTCCGTGAGTTCCCCGTGTCCCCGACCCCGCTCCCGTCCCGGTGTCCCCGTGTCCCCGTGTCCCCGTGTCCCCGTGTCCCCGTGTCCCCGTGTCCCCGTGTCCCCGTGTCCCCGTGTCCCCGTGTCCCCGTGTCCCCGTGTCCCCGTGTCCGTGTCCGTGTCCGTGTCCGTGTCCGTGTCCGTGTCCGTGCCCGTGCCCGTGCGTGCGTGCGTGCGTGCGTGCGTGTGCGTGCGTGCGTGCGTGCGTGCGTGCGTGTGTGTGTGTGTGTGTGTGTGTGTGTGTGTGTGTGTGTGTGTGTGTGTGTGTTTTTGCGTTTGTGTCCAGAGTTGAAACCCTGTCATGAGTCTAGTCCTCGACTGGCGGAACCCAACAGGTGGATGCAAGGAGAACACGGCACTAGGGTTTGACCGACCAATCCTTTGCGCAGCTTCCATTGCTTACACACGAATCCGTGTCGAAAACATCGATCCTTCCGATTTCATTGCTGAAAAGAGGGTTTGGGCACAGTCTCTGGTTGCCGCAATTGTTGGGCCGACCTCACTAAGTGGTCGTGTCTCTGCCACACAACAAAGGGACAAGCCCAGTGTCCAGAACTGGCTTGGCTGAGCCCCCGAACTGTGGTTTCCCTTTGAAAAAACAATAAACCACCAGGGGACCGCAGGTTTTCGTCCATGTTTCCATTCACCAGGGCAACCCATTTTGGGCTTACCCAATTTTTGACCCACCTGTCCACCCAACTGCCCTCCCCTGCCCTCGCTCGCCAGCTTGAGGCGTGGGCTTCGGCAACGACACGGTGGAGGAGCGCGACTACGAGGCCATCAAGTGCCGAGTCTCCTCCTGGGCCGTCGCACCGGAGGACGGGTGACTCGTGGGTAAAAAATCGGGTAAGCCCAAAACGGGTTGCCCTAGGGAAACATGGACCAAAACCTGCGGTGCCGATTCTGGTGGTTTAGTTTTGACCCATACCCAGGTGGACAGGTGGAGATGGGACGGGTGGAGGGGCGGGAGGGGGCCAGGCGGAAAACAAATCGCTGAACACATGGGGGGGCGCAAGTTTTGGCATGGGGTCTTAGTTCTCTTGTTTCCCTGAGATCTTGGGTCTTTTCTACCGGTATTTTGGATTTCAGAGGGAGACATTCAGATAGAAGATCTCCCTCCAGAAGTCCTGCATCTTGGATCTGAATACCGTATCGAGAAGTTTAGATTCAGTCATATTTCCAGGGGGCAAGTTGGTTGAACATCCTTCGTTTGTCTCCGGAGCCAGGATGCCACTGTGATTCTTGAATGGTGGAAAGATGTTTTTCCTTTTCGTTCCAGTGATACTCGCATGTCCATTGTTGGTCCCGCTTCTGTAACTTGCGGGGTCTGGCATGTCTGCATCTTGCTTGGAATTGGAACGCTTGTTTTCTCTTATTGTTGTAATGGAAGTGGTCTCTGTCCTTCTGTTTGCAGTCAAGATTTTGGAGAAAGCTTACCTGGGCAATTGTGAATCTTGCATCCAGAACATACGCAAATGACGCTATATATATATATCATATAGACACAACGCATCAGCCAAACGGAAGCTTCCTGCATGCAGTTTGGACTTCCTTGAGGACACGTGACTGACGTTTATAAAAGGAATCCCGCCATTGGCGATAGATTTGGTGCACTCCAGGAACCCAAAGTCGAAGATGACAAGACGCCATGCATAGAAAAATAGAAAAATGGCCCTGGTTTACTAGGCCCTGGTTTAGAAAAATGGTCCTTTTTGGTTGCTAGAAAAATAGATGGCCCTGGTTTACCTGGTGGTTTAATCATCTACCAGGGCCATCCATTTCCCCCTGAAGGGATGTGCATTTGCTGCCAGTCTGCAGGAATTCGAGGCGCAGGCCACCGCGCAAGACGTGAAAGAGGTGCAGCAGGCCTTTTGGGGCCGGGGAGGACATGTGACTGGGAGCCAGCGCAGCTTGGGTTGCCAAGAGAAATGCAACCAGCTGCAAACAGATTGAAGCTATTTACCTCTTGTGGAACGGATCTGTGAGGGATTTGCACACCAGACATCATGGACTTGCACACCTTTGAAGGGTTCCTTCGCTCGACGGCGATCTCTTTGAAGCCTTTGCCCCTGACCTTGGCGTTCCGGAGGCGGTCCCGGCGCCGAAGCGGAAGGCGAAAGCGAAAGCGCCGCCGGGTTTGGCGGCGGCTTCGGCGTGCGGCTTCACCGGGCGGATGGGGAAGTGCGGTCCCCGGAAAACTGCACGGGACATGTGGCGTTCCACAAACCGATGGAACCGCCAGTAGTGCCAAAGGGCATGTTCAGTGGCCCGGAGTGACCCCACAATGCGTAATAAAAAAAAACGGGGCGCAGGAAGAAGGCCTTGTTGGTGGTTTACGTTGGTTTGGGTCGACCGTTTTAGCACCTGGCTTTGCTTGTGGCCCGGATCTGGGGCCAGTGGCATCAGATCTGTTGCTTCGATTCCAACTTTTCTGGAGATGCCCTTCGAGCAAGTAGTTCCAGGAATGCTTGGAACCGCAAAGTAGCCCCGGAATTTTCGGGGTGAGCCATACATTCAGAAAGAAGCTCGGCTTGCCCTGTAAATTCAACGATTCCGTCAAGTTCCAGAAAAACAGCTGGACCGATCCCGTAGTGCATGGCCGCTGGATGTTTGCATTTGGTTCAAGCTTTGGGACGGAGTGTGCCATTCGTGCCTTCCCGAAGCTCGAAAATGTTCCATTGGAAGTGTGAGATCCCGGGCCGTGCAGACTAATCCTTCGCCAAATGCCGCTGGAAAAGAGACGAGGGTGGTTCCCACGTGCTCTTGCGAGAGACGATCGCATCATGCTGGTGCGTCTTGTTGGTGCCCTGTTCCGGTTGGTGAAGCCACAAGGCAAACCGCGATTTAAAAAAAAAAAAGGGGGGGGGGGTCCAACCGCGAAAAAGACAAACCCCATGTGCTTGTTGCAGTCCTACTTTCAAGTGGGCTCCTTGGATGTCAAGGCAGGGAGCGGCTGAAAAGGAAGCTCCGATTTTGGCCTTATCTTTGTTGGTTTGCGCAGTAACTAAGTGCCTGCAGGCACTTTTTATGAAGGACATGGTTGAAGCCATAGGAAATGGCTTCCTGATTTCACGGCAAATGCCAGCAGGACTCGATTTTGTTTTGCATTGGCGGGTGGGGGGGGGCAGCACATTTTGACCGCTCACATGCACGAGCCCTGTCTGGGTGAATAAGATGCACATCAACGATAAGACTTAACAGTACCCACCGCAGCTTCTCATATTGTTGTTTCAAGTCTGTCACCCATATCCAATAGGTTGATAACATGTTTTGTTTTGTTTTGTTTTTTAAAGGGGGCTTACACAAAGTACGATGTTCCTTTTGGTTTCACTTCATACACACCTCTCGTTTTTTTAGGGGGCCCAGACAAATGACGGCCCCCCCCCCAAGAGAAACGGCCCCCCCCCTTTGGGACCCTCGCGTGAGGGCGGGATGCAGGAACCGCTTACGAGGGCTCCTTGAAGCCCGGGGCTTCAGAGAGATCCGAGTTGGGATCCAGCCACTTTGATGTTCTCCCTTTTTTTCCCCGGAGGAGAAGATCGCCCTATGTTTTTTTTTGTTCTTTTCGTTGTTTTTGTTTTTTGTTTTGTTTTTTGTTTGTGTTTTTTGTTCTTTTCATGTTTCTTTTCGGTGCCAAACATGAGGTCAGCCTCCCACTTGGTTTGGATTGGGTGGGATCGGATGGGTGGTTTGGATAATCGATTCAAAGCCCTGGTTCTTGTAGAAGGTACATGGGACGCCCTCGATTTGTTCTCCGGCGCCGAAGATTTGGAGGGCCCAGTGTCAAGGATACTTGGGCGACAAGAACAGGTGCGGCGATTCCCGGTTTGGTTCAATCTCGTTTTGGTTCTCCAAAAAGGACAGCTGTGGTCAAGGATAGTTGCGAGAGAGGGGTTGGGACTTTGAAGCGAGAGAGAGAGAGAAGGATGACACGTGGTATTGGCAGATGAATCTTGGGGGCCGGCTGTGGGCATGCTCTGGGTAAACACGCGGAAATCTGATCCAGATTGCTCCCTTCCTCCCCTCTCCTCCCCTCTCCTCCCCTCTCCTCCCCTCTCCTCCCCTCTCCTCCCCTCTCCTCCCCTCTCCTCCCCTCTCCTCCCCTCTCCTCCCCTCTCCTCCCCTCTCCTCCCCTCTCCTCCCCTCTCCTCCCCTCCAGACCTCCCCTCCATCCTCCCTCTCATCATCTCCCCTCCTCCTCCCCTCATCCTCCCCTCTCCTCCCCTCAAGAAGCCTCGCCTAGTCTTGGTATACCTCAGCATCGCATGCGCATATGAGACGCAATGTTGCAAAAGCTGTGACTCTCGCCTCTCGCCTCACGCCTCTCGCCTCTCGCCTCTCGCCTCTCGCCTCTCGCCTCTCGCCTCTCGCCTCTCGCCTCTCGCCTCTCGCCTCTCGCCTCTCGCCTCTCTCTCTCTCTCTCTCTCTCTCTCTCTCTCTCTCTCTCTCTCTCTCTCTCTCTCTTTCTCTCTCTCTCTCTCTGTCTTTCTCTCTCTCTCTCTCTCTTTCTCTCTCTCTCTCTCTCTCTCTCTCTCTCTCCATTCGGCGCCATGTTTTTTGTGTGAATGTGAGAGACAATTCAAATAGGTTGCAGACTTTATCAAGATTGAACACTATGGCCTATGGCTTTCTTCGGTCTTGACCGCTTACATGTTGATCAACGATATGCATGGCTCCTACTTATGCTACAGGGCGTATGTACGAGTTCTACAGGCTACAAGTCGTTTGTACCAGTTCTGAAGTGCAATTCGGCGCGTCTTTTCGTCAGCGGACCCCCTCCCCCTCCCCCCCCCCCAAAAAAAAAAAACACAAAAACAGTTCTCTAATCACAAACGAATTGCTTTAAAGCCACAGAAAAGGGGCACCCTCAAAACAAGACACGCAGATGGTCCTTGTGCCCCTAGGCCCATTTGGTTTCGCTCGCTACCCCTGGAAAGCCGCTGGAGTACATCGGACAAGATGCGCAGGGCCGGGGGCCGGGGGCCGGGGGATTTCTGGTGTATGTATGACTCTCAAGTGCCTGGCAGAGTGTGTCTTTTTTGAGGGTCCCCTTGTTTGGTGTTTTGTTTTGGGAGCCCAAAGGGAAACCCTCGCGCCATTTTGGGGGTCCAACCTCAAAAGAAAGACAGATGCAAGATGATTGTGCATTCGCAAAGTCGGATGGAACCCAACAAGGTGATCCCCAGATTTCTCTACCAATCATGTCCACTGGGGATTAGTAAGGGGGGTCCCCCCCGGGTCAACAAAGGTTGCATCCAGAATAATATCTTGAGATCCAGTTCAATCGAGTTTCCATTTGAGTTAGTATCAGTAAACTTGAGTGTCCATTAGATTTAGTGTGGCTAGAGCTTCCTTTGAGATTTGGACTTGAGTTTCCATGTGATTCAATATTGCTGGAGCTTCCTGGTGAGATTTTGATTTGAGTTTCCAGTTGACTCAGTATTGGTGGACTTTGCTGGGGCGTCCTTTTGAGATTTGGAATTTAGTTTCCATTTGATGTAGTATTGCTGGAGCTCCTTTTGAGTTAGTTTTTTTTTTCCCCCCCCAACAGCTGAAAGCTTTGGGGTCTCAGCCCAGATAGGCTCCGGGGTGGTCCGGGGCGGCCCTCAGGTAAGGTTCCACGAGGGTTCTACCAACAGGGTTCCACCAGGGTTCCGTGAGGGTTCCACGGGACTAAAAAGAGCACCGCATGCTGTTGGGGATATCACCAGAGCTTATTGTTTTCTCGGGGGGGGGGGGGGGCAGGCAACAAAGGGGCCCCGGAAACAAAGTATTGGCCGGAAGAACTACCCCCTTTGTGGATTTGATTCCGAGCAGGTTTTAAGCTAGAGACGTTTAAGAACACATGGGTTTGGGAAGCTGAACATTTTGGTGAGCAGGCTCAAAACATTGTTTGGTGTATGTGTACAGTTTGTTGTTTAAGCATCATTGTTGGGTTGCCCGGTGTGGGGTGCTTGTCTTCTTTCCAGGTGCTATCATTTTTTGGGCCCCGCTTCGAAAACCTACCAGTATGCAACTTGTGAAGGGGACAGCCCTTGTGACTCTAAATCTCATGGGCCGAAGGACCTCGTCAAATCTTCTCTCCCCAGGCCCCAAACGGCAAATGGCGCGTCTTCGCGTCGAGTCTTCGCTCCTCAGGCTGGACGGATCAAAGGCGCCTACTTGAAGGGCGCGGATTCCAAGAACGCCTACGTGGTAGTGGACTCTGCCCCTGACGTGCAGCCGGCGCTTTTTATCCGGAGAGAAGAGGCGTGTGTGTGTTGGTTCATTCCCCTTGTGGTTTAACAGATGTGTAGAAGTTTCAACAGGGAACCCGCTGAAAAGTGGCGTCTGGTCATAAATCCCAAAAGGTCCCCAATGCACAACACATAGTTGAGGCTCCTTAAAGACTTGAGGGTGAGACTCCTATGGGGTGACAATGCTTGCCACGGGAGCAATTTTGGGGGACGCCCGACCAGAGTCTTATGGAGCTGCGGGCGAACTTGATGTGGATCCCGGTGTCAACAAGTCTTGATTCGAAGCAGCTAAGACTGCATGTATCAAGTCTTTGCCCCTGGTGTGCAGCATCCTTGTCCAGCAGCAACAGAGCACATTTGTCGGTGGTCGACAAATTAGTTTGCTCGCAAGCGCAGAATCGAGTGTCCCGAAAATGGCACACTGAGATCATCGGCCTATTTTGAGTCATGACCCCAAAAGATTAATGAACATGGTGTCCTTTTTGGTTGTTTTGGTGGAAAAAATAGATGGCCCTGTTTTACCTGGTGGTTAAATCATCCCCCTAAAAGGACACCATGCGAATGAAGCTTTTGTGGCATCAGAAGGGCCTCCAGGGCTTCCAATTCCCGCGCCAGGTGGGCCTGGTGGCGAAGGTGTTGAATAACTTTCAGGCCTCCGAAATTTGGCCTTTTGCTTCCTTTTCTGTGTGGTTTGTTTAGTTTGTTGTTATTGGTATCGTTATTGTTATTGTTATTGTATTTTTTGTTTAAATCTTTTAATTTGGTTTGGGGGGGGAAGGGGAGGACCTTTTCGAATGCGTTGGTTTGGTTGGCGTCTTTGGGGAACCCACCAGGGGCTTCTCCCCAGTTCGAGTTCGAGGCTAGACCTGCTGTTTTGGGGCAGCACGTTGACGGTCTGTTGCAACTGAGACTTCTACTGAGGATTTGTTGGAGGTATACTGCCCTTCCTAAACCTGAGAGTAAAGCCGTGGCGCCTTGATCTTTTGTTTGAGCTGCTTCATTTAGAGGTCCTAAGGCTTGCAACCGGTGTGTTCTCTGACCCTCTCAAGCGAGAGGGGACGGCTCTTTATTCCTGGCACCTTGAGCATGGCGCCTCTCCGCAGGTCGATAACAACCACACGCTGAGAGCCGACGGGGCCGGATCCCCGGCGCGTGACGTGAGCGTCCGAAGCCATCCTTTGGAACCAACCAGTCCATGGAACCTCAAGGTGTTTCACTTGCTGAAAGCGATCAGGCCACCCAGAAATGAGTTTGGTAGGGGGGCGTTGTGGCATGGGCTTGTGCGAGCGCGGCCTGACCTCGTAACCATGCCTGACACGAACTGGTCAAGAAGGGGACCCGGGGACAACTCCCAGCTTCCCCAAATGTCCCTTTGCCCGGGGTTCACAGGTTGAATCGACATGAGCAAAGCAACGAGGGCAATTTTTGGCGTTGGATAGGTTCAGTGCCTTGGGGACCTAGGATGGGTTCCGACTGGTGGAGGTGAGAGTCCCCCAAATGGCCCCAACCTCCAGTTTCCAGGAAACAACATCTGGATGTGTCTTTTTGTTGGGGCATCCCTTTTCGGCGGTATGTTTTTGAACGATTGCCATTTCGGAGCACCACACTCCTTTTTTTTTTTTCCGGGGGGGGGGAAAAGGCCCACCCTGCCGGTGGTTCCCGGGAATTGTATGTGCTAGCCACCCCTAAAAGAGCAGATCCCTCAGGTGGGCGAGGCGTCGGTCCTCACCAAGTTCGACAGGCCCCGCAAAAACGCGGGGAAGCGCGGAACAGCGGCACGTTTTCGGGCCGCGGGGGACGCGGGGATGGGGGTTTCTCCACATGGGAGAGTCTTTTTGCGAGCCCTGTGTTTGGTGGTTTTAGACGGGAAACCAGAAGGAAAGCACAGTTTTGAGGATGCGCCCCCCAAAAAAATGTCACCCCAAATCGACGTTTTTTGTGTGGTTGGTGTCCTTTTGGCGCTCCTGAATCAACACCAACCGAGCTTGGTCCCGTGAAAAATCGGAGCTTCCCCAAAGGGCGGCAGTTCTTGTTTCGGGAAGTGGTCAGAAAAGGCAGCAGGCCGGCCTCAGGCCTCATGGGACATGGGATCCATGGGATCTTAGACCATGCCAAGTATCAAGATCCCAATCTCGGAGGCGTAAACTTGAGGCTCGCTCGAAGCATTTGGTGCTGACGGTCCTTTTAGCGGCATGGGAGACTCACTCGCTCGTGATATGTCCGCATGGAGTCGAAGGGAAGCATCGACTTGTTCTGGATTCTGGTGTTTGCTGTGAGACAACTTATTGTAACCTATTGTCAATCGTACCCAGTGCGCCAGACGTGCCAAACGCTGCAAGACAAGAAGAAGGAACAGAGAGTTTTAGCCTGTGGACATGGGTCTCATACAACCCAACTGGTACGTGACAGCGAAGTGCTAGATTACCACACTTTATCCATTGAGTTAATCCATTGGAGCTGAATGTTCGAGTTAATCTATTTGTTTCGTTCAATTTCAGCACGGTGTTTCATTTGTTTAAGTTTAAACTATTTTTAAACTTTGAATGTTCCAAATCTATTTTGTTTCATGTGTTTCTTTGGTTTCGTTCAACTTCAAGGGGAGCACAAAATAAAATAATGACATGTTTTGCATTCGGTGGTTTTCATCCAGATGAGCCCTGAGAGTTCATAGCAAGACACTGATCAACGGAAACAGGGCATGCATTCGGCTGGGGATCCGGAACTTTTCTCTTGCGTTCTCTGCTTGGACTTGGGGGTTCGCAAATGAGTTGTTCGTTCGTTCAGGTGGTTTTTTGGTTTGTTTTCAATGCGTTCTTCAATCAATGGGTTATTCAGTGTCGTTCGTTCAGCATTTTTTCCGATTGAATCGGTTCGTCAGTTTTGAGATCCATTCGAAAGTCGGGCTACACGCAAACATCTCAGGGATGGTCCGGCCACTCGAGGGGTCCGGCCGCGCAAGAGTCTTGGACCCCTTTTTTTGCGTCAGGAAGCGCAGCGTTCATCTGGGGGGCTTGCCCCATCGCGGGGATGCTCAGCGCGGGCCGAAGGTGCGTCTTTTGTGGGCACCCGGGGTTTAAACAATTATTTGTAGGGATGTTTGTACATGCCCCTTTTACGCATGTGGAATGACCCCAAAAGGCCCGCTGATGTTACCCGTTACCCCTCACTCTCGACCCACAGAAGGGGAACCACAGAGAAGGCACCTCAGGGTTCTCTGCTCTCCAAGCCCAAGCGGTTTTGCTTTTGCGCCTTTCTTTCTCCCCATTTTTGGCGTGTTTTCTTGAAGTTATCCCGACCTTCAGAGGGAAAGCAACAGGCCCCCCCACTTTGCTCACTTCTTTGTTTTGTTTGTGTTTTTGCTTGGGGGAAGACCTGCAACACGCCTGAGCCGCCCAGTGCGCGGCTTGCAGGTCTCAGGAACAAAAGTTGAGATTCAATTTGCGAGCCGAGAACGTGGCAGCAGCCCATCAGTAGCCCTTCATAGCTCAAGCCTTCATAGCAAGACTGAGGTTACCCAAGGCCTGCAGGCATGCGCGCGGCAGCCGGTGCTTGCAGTATCAGTGCGGTCCACCCACAGAGATGTGGGATGTAATGCTTCGAAGATTACGCCTAGTAAGAGTATACCACAGGCTTGATGTCTTTTCAGATTGTAAACGCAGATTATAAACGTTTAGTCTGGTGCCTACATCTCTAGGAATTTGGGACAACTGCTCCAGCCTTGGCATCGTTTCATCCCGCTCGTTTCGAGCGCTTCGATTCGAGGCGTCACAGAGGCCGACATCCGCTGGGTGTTGTCTGATGCGGGCGAAGTAGATGCAGCCGGACTCCCGGCCGAGGAAGGGGGAAAGAGAGGAATACAGGGAGGCATATGGCTGTGGGTCAAAACCAATGGTACCATTTTGGGGTAGGTGCACCACCCACTTTAGTCTACTTTAGTGGGAGTTGGGATGTTCACTGGGGGTACGGGATTTTGACCCATGGCCATATGGGTGCGTCCCTTTTTATATAAAGGGGATCAGCAAAAGGGCAGGGCTTTCCTTTTCGGCTTCGCTTTCACACCATGAACGCCAGAAAAGAGGGGATACCCCTCCCTCAAAGAAAGCGGCATCTATACATATATATATATATATATACACACATGACCCATTTGGTTGGCTTGCAGATGGCATCCTGGGTAGAAATAGCAAACCGCTTGACATGAGGTGATCCATTCAACGTTTGCGAAGGGTCATGGTTTTGCAGACAGCCCGGGTACATCCGGGTACAGAGTCAATTCAACATCCACCTCTTGCACCCTCTCGAGAGCTCGCCTCCAATCAGTACCCTGTTTTCGGTTACAAGGGAAACGGAACGGACCGAAATCCATTTTTGGGGTCTTCTTTTGTGACATTCTTTGTTTAGAAGGGAAACCGAACGGACCGACATCCCAAAATGGGGGTCCTTCTTTCTTACCGAAATCCAAACATTCTTTCCACATTTCCTTGTCTTTGGGTCTCGGTCGAGAAGTCTCACTCTGACCTCTTGGGAGTGGAAAACCAGCGACGGGACATGAGAGCATTTTGCTGAGGTGCGGATCGTGCGGAATAAGATCACCCAGGAGCTGGGAAGTCGGTTTTCTTGGCCGTGGGCGACAAGGATAGAGACCAGTTTTTGTTTTTTTTGTTTTGGGAGGGGTTCCCCGGCTGTGGTTCGAGAAGAGGGGAAGTGGAACCCATTCAACGTTTGCGAAGGGTCATGGTTTTGCAGACAGCCCGGGTACATCCGGGTACAGAGTCAATTCAACATCCACCTCTTGCACCCTCTCGAGAGCTCGCCTCCAATCAGTACCCTGTTTTCGGTTACAAGGGAAACGGAACGGACCGAAATCCATTTTTGGGGTCTTCTTTTGTGACATTCTTTGTTTAGAAGGGAAACCGAACGGACCGACATCCCAAAATGGGGGTCCTTCTTTCTTACCGAAATCCAAACATTCTTTCCACATTTCCTTGTCTTTGGGTCTCGGTCGAGAAGTCTCACTCTGACCTCTTGGGAGTGGAAAACCAGCGACGGGACATGAGAGCATTTTGCTGAGGTGCGGATCGTGCGGAATAAGATCACCCAGGAGCTGGGAAGTCGGTTTTCTTGGCCGTGGGCGACAAGGATAGAGACCAGTTTTTGTTTTTTTTGTTTTGGGAGGGGTTCCCCGGCTGTGGTTCGAGAAGAGGGGAAGTGGAACCCACCCCGAATTGCATTTGCCTTTTGGTTTCTCTAGGTAAACCGCTCGAAAAGCGCTCTCACAAAAGGACATGCCCGCATTCTGTTCGAAGATGGTCCGCATCCAAAAGGAAACAACCATGCTTCCATTTGCTTGATCTCTGAGATGCGCGACAGCATCTTACGTCTTGCTCACTTGTCCAACGCGAATTGACCTTTTGGCCTTTTAATTTCCTCCTGGTCCAGTTTTAGTCATGGCCCCAAAAGGTTCACCTTTCACTTCTGGGTCCTTTGGGCAACTGAGCCAACGTGTTCACCGTGCCAAGTTACGATCAGCGACCGAAGGAGAATCAGGGCTTCGCCTTCGCACGCTTTACGAGCCGTGCGAGCGTCAAGGCACGGGACGGGATCTGATTTTTGCGATAGTTGGCTTCCCTTTTGCGTGAGAGGATGGAGCCGGGGAAAGAAAACAGAATGGCACCCGAGATGTGCTCACTGCCTCGGATTCCGAGTTCATCAGTTTTTTTGAGGCAGTGGCAGGTGCATTCTGGAATTTCTAACAATCAGCGTTTTGGGCTTGGGTTTGGACCGATTTCAACCGATTTCATGGGATGCTTTGTGTACAATTTCACGGCCGAAAAGTGTTCCAACACCCCTGCCTTTTGTCAAAGGTCAGACTCATGACAAGTCTCTGATGCTGAGGGTCTGATGAAGTTAATGCTAGTCTCATCAATGTTGATTTGGGTGTGCTTTGTTGTTTTGTTGAGGGAACATCTTTTTTGGGGTTATATTGAACAGAAGCCACAGAAGCAAACGCATGGTCCATTTGGCATGGATATGAGCAGAAAAAAATCGCGGTGTGTACCTAGTTCTCCTTTGGCTTTTTAAGGGCTCCAATGAAGCGTGAGCCAGTCAGTCCTATTGGGAGTCTTTGCAGATCATGCATGTCCCTTGTTTGGCGCTTCGCCTATTTTTCCACAAGACAGGGTCGGATTTGTTTGTTGACCATTAAGGAACACAGAGGCAGAAGCGCTTCAATCTGTGGTGCCACAAAGTGCCGCTTACTGAACACGCTCGCAGTCCATTTTGAGCCATTGGGGGATAGGTTATATCCGTGAGCACGCACGCTCATAGGTGTCTTTTTTGGTTTGCTTAAAAATAGAAGCCCCTGGCTGAGATGGGGTGAAATTCCATTTACCAGGCAAAGCCCATCTATTTTTCCAGCAGGCCACCTATGCGCACAGTTTGGTGTGTTTCTTCATCCGTGTTCAGTTTGTGGCAATGCCGCAAGAGCTACCCTCCGGACTAACATGGAAGCTCCCGAACGGACCTTGGAAGACTTGGTTCCATTTCCACCGGCCTTCTGGGAGCTTCCGGCTGGTCTGAGTTGGAATGTACCCTGCGCCCCGCTCAGGCGGCGCTCAACCTTTGGCGTCCCAACATCCGGGGGAAGGAGGTCTGGATCTCGCGGGCCGAAGACTCAAGAAGGGCGCAGTCGAAATCGGTGTCCAATTTTTGGGTTGATTTGGTGGCCAATTTGTTGGGTTGATTTGGGGATTTTTTTGTGGGTTGATTTGACTTTGGGTTGATTTGGGCGATTTGTTTTGGGTTGATTTGACTTTGGGTTGATTTGGGCGATTTGTTTTGGGTTGATTTGACTTTGGGTTGATTTGGGCGATTTGTTTTGGGTTGATTTGACTTTGGGTTGATTTGTGCTGATTTGGTTGGGTTGATTTGGTGGATTTGTTTTGGGTTGATTTGACTTTGGGTTGATTTGGGCTGCATTTGTTTTGGGTTGATTTGATCTTTTGGGTTGATTTGGAGCATTTGTTTTGGGTTGATTTGACTTGGGTTGATTTGGTGGACAATTTGTTGGGCTTGATTTGGTGGATTTTGCATGCCGATTTGGACTTTGACGCGGAGGGCATTTTGTTTTGGGTTGATTTGACTTGCAGTTGATTTAAGCATTTGTTTTGGGTGGATTTGACTTTGGGTTGATTTAACATTTGTTTTGGGTTGATTTGACTTTGGGTTGATTTGGGTTTATCGTTTGGGTTGATTTGACTTTTGGTTGATTTGTGACAATTTGTTGGGTTGATTTGGTGGATTTGTTTTGGTTGATTTCGACTTTGGGTTGATTTGGGCGCATTTGTTTTTGGGTTGATTTGACTTTGGGCTGGATTTGGGCGATTTGTTTTGGTTGATTTGACTTTGGGTTGATTTAAGATTGTTTTGGGTTGATTTGACTTTGGGTTGATTTGGTGGACAATTTGTTGGGTTGATTTGGTGGATTTGTTTTGGGTTGATTTGACTTTTGGGTTGATTTAGCGATTTGTTTTGGGTTGATTTGACTTTGGGTTGATTTAGGCGATTTGTTTTGGGTTGATTTGACTTTGGGTTGATTTGGGCGATTTGTTTTGGGTTGATTTGACTTTGGGTTGATTTGGGCGATTTGTTTTGGGTTGATTTGACTTTGGGTTGATTTGGGCGATTTGTTTTGGGTTGATTTGACTTTGGGTTGATTTGGGCGATTTGTTTTGGGTTGATTTGACTTTGGGTTGATTTGGTGGACAATTTGTTGGGTTGATTTGGTGGATTTGATTTGGGCGATTTGTTTTGGGTTGATTTGACTTTGGGTTGATTTGGGCGATTTGTTGTGGGTTGATTTGACTTTGGGTTGATTTGGTGGACAATTTGTTGGGTTGATTTGGTGGATTTGTTTTGGGTTGATTTGACTTTGGGTTGATTTGGGCGATTTGTTTTGGGTTGATTTGACTTTGGGTTGATTTGGGCGATTTGTTTTGGGTTGATTTGACTTTGGGTTGATTTGGTGGACAATTTGTTGGGTTGATTTGGTGGATTTGTTTTGGGTTGATTTGACTTTGGGTTGATTTGGGCGATTTGTTTTGGGTTGATTTGACTTTGGGTTGATTTGGGCGATTTGTTTTGGGTTGATTTGACTTTGGGTTGATTTGGTGGACAATTTGTTGGGTTGATTTGATTTTTGATTTGGTTTTGATTTGGGGATTTGACTTTGGGTTGATTTGACTTTGGGTTGATTTGGTGGATTTGTTTTGGGTTGATTTGACTTTGGGTTGATTTGGGCGATTTGTTTTGGGTTGATTTGACTTTGGGTTGATTTGGGCGATTTGTTTTGGGTTGATTTGACTTTGGGTTGATTTGGTGGACAATTTGTTGGGTTGATTTGATTTTGGGTTGATTTGGGCGATTTGTTTTGGGTTGATTTGACTTTGGTTGATTTGGGCGATTTGTTTTGGGTTGATTTGACTTTGGGTTGATTTGGTGGACAATTTGTTGGGTTGATTTGATTTTGGGTTGATTTGGGCGATTCCTGGTTTACCTGGTGGTTCAAGCAACTGCCAGGGCCATCTACTTTCCCCAAAAGGACACCTATGGGCGCAGTCGAGATTTCGGGTTTCGGGTGTCGGGGAGCTGAAGTCCTCCGGGAGCACCCCAAGCTGCAGAATTTTCATCAGGACATTGCCATGTGACGCGCGTTATAGTGATATCTTTGGTTGGCCAGGCCTCTTGGCTCCAATCCAGCTTTCGCTCACGCTCGCGAGATGACAAAAAAACGCTGGTTAGGTCTGTATTCCGTCGAACACCTCGACACTGCGATTGGTAGAGGTTAAGAAGCCATGTGCAGCGTGGGCGACTTTCGATCTGACTTGCACCCTCGCCAGGTCGAGCTAGAGTTGTTGACTGGTGAGTTGCTAAAAGTCAGAAACAAGCAGACATGATTCATCTACTTTGGTGTTTAGGTCGACTACTATAGACTACAGTGCAGTATTTGAGATGGCCATGTTTTTGTTTCTCTGCTTCCGTGCTAGGGTAAGATGTACATTATGGACTGTTGTTCACCCTCTTCTTCCGGAAAGTGCGCTTTATGGAGAGTCTCTACTTTCATCCAGGAAGTAGTTGAGGGTAGCAAACCTAGGCTTGAGCATGGCAATGCTAGTGCGTGCGGGGATCTTTCGGGAATTGCGATTTGCCAGCAGGAGAGGCGCGTGACCTGCTCACCAAAGCTAGGCAAATTTCGCATGCCGCAGCATGGACACTGACTGGGATTTCCAAGGAAACCATGTATCACGCAGGGGTGTGACACACTGGTTTTATTTGCACTTGCTGGCAGCGCCTATTCTTTCCCGTCTTGCGCAGTGATAAGTTTTGTCACATTTAGACCGAATGCGCACTTGAGAGCAGACTGGCACTGGTACATCACTTCGGGACAAAACTTGTTGGATAGGCTGATCAAGTGAAACGGAATGCGGGACAAACGGAAAGGTCGGATTATGATGTACAAAGGTACGAGTCTACCGAGTCTATCGCATACATGTACAAAGACACCGAATGCCGGGACTTGACTGCTATTGGGTTGGATCTTTAGACTTTACTTGTATTTTTTTGTGAAATCATGGTGTTTCTCACTAAACCCCCCAAAAATGAAACTTTTTGCAGGGGGGTCGTTTCAGCAACCAAGATGCGAGACAAACAGAAGCTGAGACAAAGGTCGGTGCATCGGCGCTTGGAGTTCTCGCTGAGGTCGAAGACGAGAGCTCCCAAGACTCCTGGAATAGCTGGCCGCACCGCCCGGTTAAAGGGGGTTGGATGCGCGAGTTTCTTTTTTTTTGGGACGGCGGAAGTGAAGCGGATTTCGCACGTTGTTTTTGGGGTTTCTCTTTTTTTATCCCAGAAATCAGATAAGCTTTGGGATTTGAGTCGGTAGACAGCGGGGAATGAGTAGTTCAAGACTGATCTTGAGAAGCCAGAGTAGGCGCGACAGGCTCAGATGTTAGTGTTGAACCTTCCTTTATCCCAACCCTGATGTTGGTAGCTTGGATTGGGGAATTGAACCCTGGCTTTTGTAGAGGGTAAGAGAAGCCACACCTGAACCACCAAACCTGCAATCTAACCCACCAATTGGAGTGAAGCTGAAGTTTCAAAGGAAAGTTTGGGACCAAGAGTGCATGCTTATCACTGTTTGCTCCGCGATGAACCAATGTGCTCATGTGCTTTCGTATTGCATTGGCACGTCAAGCGCTCAAAAGCATTGCGCCGAATCTTGGCTGAACAGACGCGGTGGACGAGTTATTTTGGGGCTAGGAGGATGACACCGCACGCGTCAAACTGAACGAGGGCAGGGGTGATGTCCAATTTCCCCAAGGAGAGTTCAGTTCCGGGCCTCTCTCGCAGAGGAATACAGACATGCAGCAAGTGATTTGGAACCCAAAAAGGGCAGCCACAAGCTCGTGGCTTGAAGTTGTGCTTAACTCTGACCAACCCTGTATAGGAAAAGAAGGGTTGGGTCCGTTTGGAGTCCTTACCTCAGGCACCCACTGAGACCTTGCTTCCCAGCCACTTGGGGCGCCCCAACCCATCTCTCATTGGAAGCAACCGGCCACCTGGGGTGCATTTTTGCGGTCCCTTTCTTTCCAACACCAAACCGCGGCCCCAAATTTGCCAACAGGATCCACACCAAAATGTAGGCCTTGGGCAACTTTCCCTGGCAGCCAGTTTCGCTTCTTGTTCGGGTAGACCAAGGCACCAGTGAATTTATGTGGGTCATGGGCGGTTTCCCTTCAGCCCAACAAAAACAGCGGCTTCCCCCCCAAAAGCGACATGCAAAAAAATGAGGCAGCAGCCGGCTGCTCCACACCCGGCCACCAAGAGGATGGAGCAGAAGCGACAGCAGCGGCTGCGCCAGAAGGCGTCTCGAAATCAAATTGGGTGGGTCAAACATACACTCCCTCTGACTAACATGGAAGCTCCCAGAAGGCCTCTGTAAATCGAGCCAAGTCTTTCAAAGGGGTTTTGGGAGTTTCCATGTTAGTCTGAGAGGGGGTAGGTGGGTATCAAAGGTGTCATTTTTGGTTGATTTGGTTGAAAAATAGAGGGCCCTGGTTTGCCTGGTGGTTCAAGCAACTACCAGGGCCATCTATTTTCCCAAAAAGGACACCAATGTAGGTGGGTATCTTCCGGACACGAATTTTAATGGGGGACCCTTTCGTGGACGTCATTCAGGTGGAGAGTGGGTTTAGGTTTTGGGTGTTGGGTTAAGGTTCGCCCATTTTGACATCACCTCTCCCAGGCAAGGCTGGTATGATTTTAGGGAGCCCTTAATGGACATCATTCAGGGGATTCATGTCCACCAGTCACTGTTGAGGTGGTTCCCTATGAAAATTTCATTGCCAGGTACCCAAACTGGGGTGCCCTGGCGAATGGATTAGACGAAAGCTTGCGGTCAGTTCCTGGTGGTGACTAATTTTGACCCATACTTGTCATGTTGAGAGAGCCGCTCAATATGTTTACACTCAATGGTCTAAACTTGGTTTGCTTTCCCGTGTCCCTGCCAGGATTTCGGACCACAGACCGAATCGGAACGGGCTCTAATTGGAAGCCCGATCACTTGCACGGGGCCATGAAGCGCTCGCATCCATTTGGGTGCGTGCGTGTCTTTGGGCATGTTTGACACATATCCATTTGGGCTCGACTTTCTTTTTGAGGCCCCCCCCCCGCCGAAAAACATCTAGGCTTTCCTTTGGTTTCTTTTTGCACAGCTTGGCGGGGAGCCCGCCAGGCTCCCAGCCATCCCCTTAGCCTTTTGGCCTTTTAGTGGGTTCAGTGGTTGGGCGTCCGGATTTCACCCGCTAAAAGTGAGCCGAACATTGACCAGATCTGAAAACGGACTGCCCGGACAGCAACCCCAAAACCTTCCATTTGCTTACGAACACTTGTTTATACATATTCCCCTGCTGGTTTTAAAGGGAATCTATCACTACTGGAAATATTTTTATTCCCGGAAGCATTGCGAAGGGTTCTTCTTCTAAAAGCGGCTGCCAACTTCACCTGCCAACTTCTCATGCCAACTTGTCGAGAGTTACTTCACCTGCCAACTTCTCATGCCAACTTGTCGAGAGTTACTTCACCTGCCAACTTCTCATGCCAACTTGTCGAGAGTTACTTCACCTGCCAACTTCTCATGCCAACTTGTCGAGAGTTACTTCACCTGCCTACTTCTCATGTCAACTTTTTGAGAGTTACTTCACCTGCCAACTTCTCATGTCAACTTTTCGGCTGTTATCTCATTCTACTAAAAGCACAAGCTAATTTGTCGGGTGTTACTTCACTATCCTAAAAACACAAGCTAACTTTTCTGTTCTACCTTCACATCTCGACTCTTAATTCTTCTTCTTTTTATGGCGGGGGTAGGCCCGACGGGAGCTTACGAAACGCACCCCTCTGCGGAGATCGTGCGTGTCGAAGCGCTCTCGCTGTGGCGCCGTGCGAATTTGTCTTGACCTTGGCGAACCCTCTGCGGAGATCGTGCGTGTCGAAGCGCTCTCGCTGTGGCGCCGTGCGAATTTGTCTTGACCTTGGCGAACCCTCTGCGGAGATCGTGCGTGTCGAAGCGCTCTCGCTGTGGCGCCGTGCGAATTTGTCTTGACCTTGGCGAACCCTCTGCGGAGATCGTGCGTGTCGAAGCGCTCTCGCTGTGGCGCCGTGCGAATTTGTCTTGACCTTGGCGAACCCTCTGCGGAGATCGTGCGTGTCGAAGCGCTCTCGCTGTGGCGCCGTGCGAATTTGTCTTGACCTTGGCGAACCCTCTGCGGAGATCGTGCGTGTCGAAGCGCTCTCGCTGTGGCGCCGTGCGAATTTGTCTTGACCTTGGCGAACCCTCTGCGGAGATCGTGCGTGTCGAAGCGCTCTCGCTGTGGCGCCGTGCGAATTTGTCTTGACCTTGGCGAACCCTCTGCGGAGATCCTGCGTGTCGAAGCGCTCTCGCTGTGGCGCCGTGCGAATTTGTCTTGAGCCCGATGAACCCTCTGCGGGGATCGTGCGTGTCGGATCGCTCTCGCTGTGGCGCCGTGCGCATCTGTCTTGAGCCCGATGAACCCTCTGCGGAGATCGTGCGTGTCGAAGCGCTCTCGCTGTGGCGCCGTGCGATTTTCTTGCTCGCGAAACGGCTTTTGGAAGTTGTCTCGTGGTGTGCGCGCCTGCTTTCGCAATCCCGCGGTCCCGGGCTCGATTCCCCCCTGGTCCGCGGCAGCTCCGGCTTGAAAATCGCAGCTTTTAAGTACAAACGTAGTACGCGGAGCGTGCTCCTGCAGCTCCGGCTGGAAAATCGCAACTTTTAAGTACAGACGTAGTACGCGGAGGCTGCTGCAGCTCCGGCTGGAAAATCGCACTTTTTAAGTACAGACGTAGTACGCGGAGCGTGCTCCCGCAGCTCCGGCTGGAAAATCGCAACTTTTAGATACAAATGGCTGGAAAATCGCAACTGTAAATTGCAAATGTAGCACGCGGAGCGCCTCCGCCGCTCCAGCTTTTTGAGGGTTAATTACTTCACCTGCCAGTTTCTCATGCCGAAACTTCGAGAATTACTTCACCTGCCAGCTTCTCATGCCACCTTTTCGAGAGTTACTTCACCTGCCAACTTCTCGTGCCAACTTTTCGAGGAGTTACTTCACCTGCGAGCTTATCATGCCAACTTTTCGAGAGTTACTACACCTGCGAGCTTCTCATGCCAACTTTTCGAGAATTACTTTACCTGCCAACTTCTCATGCCAACTTTTCGAGAAATACTTTACCTGCCAACCTCTCGTGGCAACTTCACCTGCCAACTTTTCGAGAATTACTTCACCTGCCAACTTCTCATGCCAACTTTTCGAGAAATACTTTATCTGCCAACCTCTCGTGGCAACTTTTCGAAAAATTACTTCACCTGCCAGCTTCTCATGCCAACTTTTCGAGAGGTACTTCACCTGCCAACATCGCCTGCCAACTTTTCGAGAGTTACTTCGCCTGCCAACTTCTCGCGCCAACTTTTCGAGAATTACTTCGCCTGCCAACTTCTCATGCTAACTTTTCGAAAGTTACTTCACCTGCCGGCTTCTCACGCCAACTTTTCGAGAGTTACTTCACGCGCCATCTTCTCGTGCCAACTTTTCGAGAATTACTTCACCTGCCAGCTTCTCACGCCAACTTTTCGAGAGTTACTTCACCTGCCAACTTCTCATGCCAACTCTTTGAGAGTTATTTCACCTGCCAACTTCTCATGCCAACTTTTCTCTTGAGTTACTTCGCCTGCCAACTTCTCATGTCAACTTTGCGAGAATTACTTCACCCGCCAACTTTGCCAGCCAACTATTCGAGAGTTACTTAACCTGCCAGCTTCTCATGCCAACTTTTTGAGAATTGCTTCGCCTGCCAACTCCTCATGCTAACTTTGCGAGAGTTACCTCACCTGCATCAACTTGCCTCTATGCTTCCGGGCCACTCGTCGTCTAGTTTTTCCAGGTGGACTTAAGCAAATGGAAGAAAAGGCATGCCAAATCCCACGATGCCAGGTGCGGAAGCGCAAGGACTTTGACACCAGCGCAAAGGCCGCTGGGCTCAGGCAGGACGTTTGCGCGGAACGAGGCTTTTGTTTTTTTTTCCCGTGGGGCTTTCCGAAAGGTGCGGCCGGAGAGAGAAGCCATCGGTTTTTTGTTTGGTGTGTTCTCTTCCGCTTGTTAGGCGATTGTTTGGTTTTCTGTTTGTTTTGTTTGCTTGTTTGTTTGTTTGTTTGTTTGAGAATCCGTTTGGTCTGGTCAGGTTCTGCTCTGGAGTTCCAATATTCTGACCCACATCGCAAAGCTATCGGGGCGAGGATTTGTCTCGCCTCTGTGGTCTACATGGCCTCCATTCAGCTGGCTATTTCGACGTAAGTCTTGAAACAGACGTCAAGCATACCTTCCATTTGCTTAAGAATATGTTTCATTTTCTCCTGTTGGTTTTAAAGGGAATCTATCACTATTGGAAACAATTTCATTTTTTCCAGGGGCTTAAGCAAATGGAAGATACGTTTTTCAGAGTCGCATGTTTGTTTGGCATGGGTTTAGTACTGCTTTGTACTGGCCTGGGCCGCAAGAAGCAATGGAATGTGCGTTTTCAGGTCAGGGAATGGCTTCCCCTTGCAGCACGGGCTACCAGGGCCTTTCAAGGCGCAGGATGCTTGCTAGAATTGGCCAAACTACAAACTTAAGTAGTGGCAAGTCGAATTCGACCCACCCCAATGACTGGTTCCACTGCTCCGGGGGTAACATCAGGCAGACCCAACATCACCCTTTTCACCTTGGTTCAATGAGAAGCAAAAAGGAAAGTCATCATTTTCACACATACCCACATAGTCATCAGCTCAAGGCTTACTCTTTTTTTTACCAGTACTTAAGTTAGTAGTGCCAAGTCACTTGCTCTCAGATTCCCAGTACTGATATTAGAATTGCCACTTCTAACTTTAGTATTGCTAAGACTGACTCTCAGATTCCCAGGACTCAATTTAGCATTGCCTATTCTAACTTTGTAGTGCTAAGACTTACTCTCAGATTCCCAGAACGTAATTTAGTGTTGCCAATTCTAACTTTAGCGTTGCCAAGACGTACTCCCAGATTCCCCAGTATTAATTTAGCAGCCAATTGTAGCTTTAGTACTGCGGAAGCAGTCACATTCAGCAGAATCAGGGCCTCTTGTGGGTAACCCACTGTTTGCCCTTACCTTTTTGTGAATGGACTGCTGATTTTGGGAACCCGTTCTAAAACCGATGTCCCAATGTTTGCCACGCTTTCTTGGATTTGTTTTGCCCGATTCTTGTTTGAACTTTTTTGGTGTTGCCGTTGTTTTTGTTTCTCTCTTTTTCCCCAACAGCTGAATGCTTCTGGGGTCTCAGCCCAGGCGAGGGTTCCACAAGGGTTCCACGAGGGTTCCACCAGGGTTCCACCAGGGTTCCACCAGGGTTCCACCAGGGTTCCACCAGGGTTCCACGAGGTTCGGCGAGGGCTGCGGGGTGGTGCGAGCACTAAAAAGAGCACCGCATGCTGTTGGGGATATCACTTGAGTTGTTTTTCCAATTTTCCCGGCAGACATACTTTCAATTAAAGCGACCCCCCCAAAACATTCAAAGGAGACCGAATTAAGACAAGCACCTTTAGATTAAAGCGGACCCAGTTTTTTAAAAGAAGAAGAAGAAGAAACACGGGTGCTAGTCAACACACACACACATATACATATACATATATTTATTCTGGTCCCCTCGGCCTATATATACTTCTCGGCAAATCCAATTTGCCTGTTGGCCGGGCAAACTGAGAAACCGCAGCTCACTAAAGGCACTCTGCCTTGCAGGACGGGGAAGAAGAAAATCTCCCGGAAGAAGAAGCTGAAAGAGGTGAAAAAGAAGAAGAAGGCGGGGGGCTTGGTGTGGGGGGGGCTGGGGTTCGGGAGTTGGGGTTGGGATCCGGGGTGGGTGATGGGTCAGCTGCGGAAAAGGGCTGCGAGTCGCAGGAGGCCATCTTTTCTTGCCAGTGATCAAACGGGTCCTTTTTGCAAGTCAGTTTATGCTGGGCCGGTGATTCACAGAGAGGTCAGTGGTTGATTTTGGAATGCAGAAGAGGATTTGGAATTGGGCGTATGCATGTCTCATGTCCCCCAATTTGCATTGACCAGCGGTGGCCGTTTCCGCCTGCAGGTCAAGACCTGAGTGCCACTGCCCCCGGCGCTCGCGAGAAAAAAGGCACGCCGCTGCAGGGACAAGGGGGGACGGTCGTGGGTTCGCGCCAAAGGCGCGGGTGGATTCGCGTCCGTTTTCCAGGAATCAGCGCTGAGCAGCTGTCGAACCAGCTTCTCACGCTGCTCTTTCTTGGGAGCTTGGCTTTTACTAGTTTGGTCAGCCAAGTCGGATCTTGTCACCGTGCTTAGAGTTGGTTGGTTCGTGTTGACATTGCAAAGCAGTGCTTCTTACTGACTGTGGGCTTTGATCAAGTCGCTGCTCCTGTGGCCTTTGCTCAAGCGCTGGGCCTTATGCAAGTGCTAGAAAGACACGGAACATGTTTGTAACGAGAAGCATGCTGCGCAGCTCACACAGACCGTGGACTCCACGCACCACAATCAGTGCCTCACTTGCCACAGAGCACAGCCTACCACAGATGTGTTCAAAAACTCGTGGCCTTTCAGGGAAGGCATTCCAACAAGGCGCAATAAAGTGTGTGTGTGTGTGTTGGCCCGATAGAGGCAACTTGCGTCTGAATTGGATAGATAAGGGACATCCCGGTTTAAATCATTTGGAACATGCGAGCGATTCAACGTGCGCTGTTGCGCCTGTGGACAGAGGCCTCTATACATCAGGGCTACTTAAAAGATACATGTGCCCTTTTGAAACATGGCTTTTTCCACCAAAATAAAGGGAAACCACCATTTTCAAGGCAATGTTCAGGTGTATAATGTAAGGATCCCTGTACATGTTTCCCTGAAATGCAAGTTCTTTCGGAAGGAAGATCTCAGGAACCTGCCATCGCGTTGATGGAAAGTGGTGCAACATCGCTCGAGGAGGCCGAGGCGCGACGTTGTATGAGCTGCATTTGTTAAAATATATATGTCCTTTTTTTATCGGCACATAGCTGCATTTTATTATTATTATTATTATTATTATTATTATTATTATTATTATTATTATGATTATTTTACTTTTTAATTTTAGGATACTTTGGTGAGACATAGATGGTACTGGTTTAGATTGTTTTCTTTATGCCCCAGTTACCGGGGCCATCTATGTCGGGGCCTGTCGACAGAACCAAGTGCATGACGGCGTAGGACGTACGTGAAAACGCCAGTCGCGCCCAGAGTGTCGACACTGAATTTTACGCTCATATACGGGGGCGGTAAACTTGGCAAAGTGGGTGTGTCTGTTTTCGAGGGTACCCCTTGTTTGGCGGTTGTAAAGGAACAACACAGGTAAGACAAATTTTTGTTGAGTTCCCTAAAAAAGAGTTGGTTTGAGGCTAATATGATAGGAACCATGTATATATTGGATGGTACGTTCCGTGCCGCGCAGGCTTCTAGCAATGTTCCACCCAGGTTTCTAGCGAGCAGTCCCCTGATTTCTGTAGCCTACAATAGAGCTGTGTAAGCCCCGGTGTGTCAAAGTCCCAGTTTTCCGTGGTCGGAGCCTTTCTACCAGTACAACTTGTCCCCCATTCTTTGCTTCCTCAGCCTGCTCTTGCTTCAAGTTCTACCTTCAAGCACGAAAGCTTGAAGATGCTTTAAGGGCAAATTTGGACAAGTCAAGCGAAAAGAACCAGTGAAGCTTCAGTAAGCAAGCGTGCACGCTGGCTACCCACGCACAAAAGGCTGGGCGCAGCAGCCAATGTACAAGATTTTGTAGCTATGGCGCTGCCTTGCTGTTCTAGCAAGGCTCCCCAGAATGGCCATGATTTCCAAGTGAAATTTGAGTGGACTACTTTTTTTTAATCTAGAAGATCTGACTTTACAGCCACAGTGACATTCTATAGTCGACGAGTAATTTACTCGTCGACCATAGAATGGCACTGTGGCTTCCCGCAGAGTTTCGCACGCCAATCGAAACTTGGAGGACTGAGCTCTACGGGTGGCTTTTCGCCCTGATGTTTCTTCCCAACTTCGAGCAAAACCATGGACGACAGAAAGAGATAGGCGACCAATGTGAAAGGTCGTGGCAGGACCAATCAAGCAAAACAAGCCGTAGGTGCATCCTCAAACATTTCCAGGAAGTGAGGGAAGCGCAACACTCAAAACTCAAAGCACTGGCTATGGACCTTCAGTCAACTCTCGTGCCTCGCCAGTCTCGTGCGTCACCAAGTTGGACAGTCCGGCCAGTTGGATTTTCCACTCCTTGGGGCCATTTCGAGTCGTTGGCGTGAGAGCTGCGCTTCAATTAGCTCAAGTTTTTCTGGCACCCCTGAGTAGCTTTCACCTCAGGAACATGTGAGCTTGCTCAAACCCCGGGGATTGATGAAGGTCAGTAGGGGCAGTCCCAGCCGGAAATAGTTGCGGGATGCCGCCCTTGCTAATTCTTGAAGCATGGTTCTGGGTTCACCAACTTTGTACCGATCGGTTTTGAGCAAGTGACTCATGTGCGCGTGCTTTTTCGTGGCTACCCTTGGGGTTCAACGAAGCCGACCAGAACGATTTGCGGACGGAGTCCGGACGTCGGAAGCCGGCCATGTGGATCAGATCCCCTGCCGCATGGCCGTGGTTGTCAAAACCGTTTTGGGATCCCATTTTGGGGCAGGTGAATTCACCACCCACTTTAGAACCTATTTGAGTGGTTGGGATGTTCACTGGGGTATGATTTGGCTTTTGGCCCCATGGCCGGCCATGTGGATCCCCTCAGGCTGCAGGAAAAAAAGCAAACAAACTCCGACGACCGGCGCCGGCCAAAAAAAAGCGGCTCCGCAGGCCGCGAAGCTGGCCGAGGCGGGCGGTGGGAGGTGGTGGGGGGGGGGGGGTGTTTTTTGGTCGAATCGTCGTGGGGTCCCCCGTTTTTAGATTCGCCGTACTTTCTGTGCTTTGCCGCGCTAAAACTACATCCCAGGGAGCACCCCTTCGGCATTTTTATGGGGGCGGAGGGTTTACCAGGGCTTCGCCGACTTTTGTTTTGCGTCGGATTGGGCCCTTTCGTGTGGAGGCCGGCTGTGAATGTCGAATATGTGTGAGGCGTTGCGTTTCCATTGAGAAGCATGATGTGTCAGTTCAGATGTTGGACGACATGATGCGGATGTTCACCGCCAGAGGATGTCAGGCGTAGGCCCTTCGGCGTTGGTATACGTGAATTGTCAAGCTGGGGGAACAAATGCGGCATTTCGACTCTGGACAGGTTTTGACCATTTTGGTGGCAGATATGTTTAGGTCCACAAGAGTTGGCTGCCCACGATCGTTTGGATGCCGCTTCCAATTGGCAGCTTGTATAGATGTTCTCGCCGGAGCACAATTTGGAGGTGGGGCTTCTCAAAGCAATCAGATGCTATGGCAATCAGAGTAAATCCGCCAAGTGCTCAAGCACACACCCGGGTATCACCTTTTTCCCAAGCACCCATATGGCTTGTTCGTTTCACAACAAAGTCCCAAGACGCCTGCCCTTCGATAAGCAGAGGCCATGCAATGCTGCGCTTCAAACTCATAGAATGCTTCTTTTGCTTTCGATGTTCAGTTTTGCATGCTGCACATGTCCTTGACTTCAGAGCTTCTTTTTTTCTCGGATGAATACAAAGGGGTTTTACAAGACAAGAAAGCGTCGAGCTATCATGTTGGCCAAACAGCTGAACATGGTTGTTGTTGGGAAACATGTTACATGATTTTCTCCTTATTGTGGTTTAGTGGGTTTTCTAGCCCACTTAACTGCTATTGGGAGACATGTGACATTTGTTTCTTCTTATTGTGGTTTAGTGGGTTTTCTTGCCCACTTAACTGCTAGAATGGTTTTTTCTGGCTCCCCTTCCAACGTCCAACGGGTCTGAAAGCGTCGACTGACCGAGACTCCCTGCGGTGCGCGCGGATCTCCCGCGGAATTTTTGTTGGCGTGTCCAGCTTCGGCTTGAGGGGCCCCAGGGTATGCGAGCCCAAGACGCTTCGGGTGTTCTTAGGCGGAACTTAAGGCGGGGTTTCCGCCTCAGAAAGAAGTCTCTCTTTTTTTTTTCTTCCTTTGAACCCGTGGCTCCAGGGGGTTTCCCACTCACATGGGTTCCGCAATGTTGACCCCATGTTAGTCAACTTTAGTTTATGACTAGGGGGGGTGTTTTTTGGGTTTAGCGGGGAATCATCCACTTTTGGAGGGGAACATCACATGGGTTTTCCATCAGAAAGCTGATGACTCTCAGGAGAGCGACGCCTTTGAGACGGACTTCGAATCCTTATCCTCCATCCCTGAGGCGAGAGAGAAATGGCTGTGGAGTACAATGACCCCTTGGTAACTGTCCAAACCTGTTGCGTTATTTTCCCTTCTGAGTCGGTCAACCCAAAGTGACCCAAACCGGTTTTGTTTCCCATTCTGAGTTGGAAACAAAGACCAAGACCTGCGTAACCCCGACTCTTTACTTTTGAGCCACACCCAAATCAAGCTCGAAATCGTCGTGTGTGATGCCCACGGTCACGAAATCCATGGCTTCGGACGAGCAAAAAGACGGTTGGTTAACAACCGTACAGGTAACGCGTCAACACACACACACACACGCATTATTCTGCATGAGTGCTATGTCATATCATCGCACATACACACACGCACAGATGTATGTATACAGTTGTATGTGTATATATATATATATATGTATCTGCTGTATATATATATATATATATACACATGCATATATATATATATATCTAAGGGTGGAAGTACATACCCCTTGTTCATACCCATTGGCTTCCATGGTTTCCAACCCACTTTATAAGGGGTATATACCCCTTCTTGGGGAGAGGGGTATGAACATCAGCAGGCCTTTTGGGTTCATTTGTCCAAGGGGTGTGTAAAAGGGGTATGTACAAGCACCCCTGGAATATATATACATATATATATATATATATATTTATGCACGGTGGTGCACATGGGTACATATTATTGCAAAGCATCCTACCCATTCACATTGATGCAGATTGCTACGCACTATTTCGCATTTGTATTCAGTATTTCACATTACACGTTGCACTCTGTCACAAGTACAGTTCCTTGCACAT